TAGAAAAGTATTCACTGAGAACTTATTTTTGACAGTTGCAGGAGAGGAGTCATGGGGAGGAGGGGGTGAATGAAAACCTGCTAACAATTTAAATGATATGCTTTCCTGAAGAAGTGTGTTTTCAAAGATTTTTTGAAAGAGTGGAGACTGGATGAAAGTCTAATGGAGAAGGGAAGGGAGTTCCACAGAAAAGGTGCAGCCCTGGAGAAGTCTTGGAGGTGAGCATCAGATGTGGGAGTACGGACAGAGGATAGAAGTAGGTCTTTGGCAGAGCACAGGGGCCTCAACGGGACATACTTGTGTATTAGGGAGGATAGGTAGGTTGGAGCAGCATTATGTAGGGACTTGTAAGCAAGTACCAGAATCTTAAATTGAGCCCTATATTTAACTGGAAGCCAATGAAGGGATTGACAGTGAGGGGAGGCGTGGGAGGTGCGGGCTTATAGGAAAATAAACCTCGCCACCGCATTCTGGATTGCAGTGGTGCAGTCTGGAAACAAGTAAGACCACTGAGAAGGGGAATGCAGTAGTCAAGGCGAAAAAGAACAATGGCATGGACCAGCACATTAGCTGCGTCTGGTGTGAAGTAGGGGCAGATGCGAGCTATGTTTTTGAGATGGAAGTGGCAGGATATGGTGATCTATGGGACATGAGGGGTGAAACAGAGGTTGGAGTCAAAGAGAACACCTAGGCAGTGAGCCTGTAAGGTAGAGGTGATGGTGGCACCATTGACTTGGACCGAAACAGACACAGGAGTTGCAAAACTTGAGGTTCTGTTTTGGACAGGTTGAGTTTAAGGAAGTGAGCAGCCATCCAGCTGGAAATCACGGAGAGGCAGTCAGAGACGTGAGTCAAGATGGGTGGAGAGAAATCAGGAGAGGACAGGTAGATTTGTAGACAGGTAGATTTGTGTATAAATGATAATGGAAGCCAAAGGAGCTGATGAGTTTACCAACGAAGGCAGTGTAGACTGAGAACAATAGGGGACCAAGGACAGAACCTTGGGTAATGCCAACAGAGAGGGGTTGGGGAGAAGAGGCAGAGCCAGAGCCAGAGAAAAAAAAACACTGAAAAATCACTGGGAGAGGTAGGAGGAGAACCAGGAGAGAGCAGTATCTAGTAGACCGAGATTACAGAGAATGAGAAGAAGCTGTTGATGATCAACAGTGTCAAAGGCAGAAGAAAGATCAAGGAGAATTAGGATAGACTAATGGCCGTGAGATTTAGAGGCGATTAAATCATTGGATACTTTGGTCACAGCTGTTTCAACAGAGTGACGAGCACGGAATCCACACTAAAGCAGGTCAAGCAGAGAGTGGGATTCGAGGAAGTCTGTCAATCTCGCATACACAACTCTCTCAAGGATCTTGGAGGCAAACGGCAGTAGCGATATAGGGAGGTAGTTGGATGGGGAGTTGGGGTCAAGGTTGTTTTTTTTTCAGAATCAGCGTTATAGTTGCATGCTTGAAGGGTGAAAATGATGTGAAGTGTGCTGGAGGAAAGGGAGAGATTGAAAATTTTTGTGAGAGGAAGAGCAAAAGAGGGAGACAGAGTGCAGATGAGATATGAGGGAATATGACCAAGGGAACAGGTGGTGGAGTGGGAGGACTGGAGCAGAGCAGAAACCTCTTCCGTTGTAGTAGGTGCGAATGAGCATAGAATAGTGGAGTGAGTGGGGTTGGGTGATGTATTGGAAGGGGAGGGAGAGAGGTTAGAGATCTCTTCCTTGACTGTAGAAATCTTTTCAGTGAAGTGAGTTGCAAAGTTTGAGGCAGACAGGGTGGTAGGGGGAGTGGGAGCAACAGCGCGGAGGAGAGCATTAAAAATGTGAAATAGGCATTTGAATTTGATAAGGAAAGCATGTATGACAGGGGTTTAAATCCTGGTGCTATCCTGAATGCCACATCAGGTATCAGTGTGTGCTTCAACTGTAGATTCCCCGACCCTACCTAGATACTAAGATGGTCTTCAGCAATCAAGTGAAAAATACAGTGATGACAAATTTAACTGAAGGCAAGACATACCTTATTACTGATGCATGATAGAATTTAAAAAGTACTTCCCTGAAAATGTCAGCAAGTGTTGCTTTAACCCTTTCTCAAAATGGTGTAATCAAGGGGAAGCTCCACCAAATGTGTGCAAGCATGTCCTCACCACATCTCCAACAAAGGGGAGAGACCTCAAGGAAGATCCTGTGGAGATGCACCGGGGTCCAATTCCACATTGAGAGGAGTTTTTAGGCAACCTCCTGGTATCCAGAGCTAACAGAACTGTTATGTTGTGACATCAAAACTTTTTCCCATTGGGCATCCATAAATGTCTTGCCTAGAATTCTCCCAGCGCCTTTTAAAAGTACTTTTGGACTCTCTACCTCCCACTAGCAAATGCTGGTAAAGCTGGTATCATGCTACCCTCCTCACACTAGCTCTCAAACCAGGTCATGTCCCGATGTATACACTCCCCATTGGTCAGCCATGAGTAGTAATGCTGTAACTTTGTATGGCAAAATTTTATTAAGAGTGTGGGTTTCTCCCCACCTAATACATCATGAATATCCCACCATCCGTCCCCTTGCAATACCCTATGAAATGGTTTTAAACGATCCCCTCCCAGAAAAGACCAAGCTCCAAGGGGTAATTTGCACCCCCAGACTCCAGTTAAGTGTCAACAGTATTAGTGGATTCAGCATGGGGAATAGATGGTCCTCCACTTGCATGACCCACCACATCCTCAGGATTTAGTTTACAGAAGTACTTCCGATCTCCACCTTCACACCACTGAAGTTCGGGTACCATTCTTGATCAACAGCACACATTGTTTGTGAGATGGGATAGCATGCCATTCAAGAACTTGCTCTAAAGCTACTGTCTGATGGAATTTCTTAAAATCTGGGAGAACTAATCCCCCAATGTTTAGGCAGACAAAGCAGGTCATGTCTCAAATGGAATCCCTCCCTTCACCATACATTTCGTATCACTGCGGATTTCAGAGAGGCAAATAACTCTCTAGGCAGATACAGAGGCACCATCTGGAAAAGATACAACATTCTCAGCAGGATATTCATTTTGAGGACTGCGACACGGCCATGCCAAGAGATGTGTGGATAAGAGCACTGCTTGAGATCAGTTTGAATCTTCTGCAGCAGGGTGACAAAATCGCGTTGATACAGATCAGCTAGGTCCATGACCGCTAGAGATTCTGTATGAAAAGCTCTGTCATCTGGGACTACATTAAGTGCCTTCAGCAATCTAGCCATCAAGATTTCTTGGAATGTTTTATAGTAACAAGTAAAAATCCATATGGGTCAGGTCTCCTGCCTGTTATAGAAGTCTTGATAGCCCCCTAAATTTCCTCCTCACTAATTAGTGAGTCAAGCAAATCAGCCACTTCACTGGAGACTGAAGCTTGGTGCATACTCTGTCTATCGTGCAATACGATAGTCGAGTTCTGCTCTTGAGCCTAAATGGCGCTCCACTGAAATGTTATACAACAAGGAATAATAGGATCTTAGTTCCTCAGTGATAGCTTAAGGGAAAGGCGTTGTTCCCCCTGAAGCCAGCTTAACTTTCTGTACCTGTGTGTGCACTGCAGGAGGTGGACTAGCAACTTCCCCCCTTTATTGGTATAGGTGTAGAAAAAACCCTTAGAGTGATTTAGCACTCTAAAGTTTATAGACTTTAAAAGGTCCGTCAATTGCCTCCTGGCTTCCAACAATTTTCTATAGACCTGTTTCACTTGTGATCTTTTGTGTTAAGATTCTAGGGAAGCTATGAGATTATAAAGAGTGGTTAGCTGTTGCGTTGCATCCTTCTTTTTCTTTGTAGCAATCCCCAGTATACAGCCCCTAATGACACTCTTGTAAGCCTCCTATACCGTAATGGACAACATGCCCTTAGTGGCATAAAATAAAGATCCAAGGCTTTAGCCACCTGTTCCCTAACTCTCTGGTCAAGCAACAATGACTCATTCAGCCTTCATGTCCACTTCACTGGTTTAGTTAAAGGGGAGTCCAATATCATCCAATGGTCTGACAATGTTGACTAGTCAGTATCCGCCTGCTTCAGATGAGTAAGGCTTTTTTTTGTATGAATAAACAGTCGATTCGAGAATAACAATCATGTAAAGCCAATTAGGAGGTGCAATCCCTACTCTCAGGGTTAAGCGCCATCCAGCAATCCGCAGGCAGAAAACCAGACCCACACCCCCAGGTGAGAGGAAAATGGGTCTTCCAGCCACACTCACCCAGCCATTACAGAGTGAGGGGCATCAGGGAAAGCCAAGAAGACCAGAATAGAGAACAAGAAGGAAAGAGGGAGACAGCAAGAAAGTAATGAAATGAGACTTCCCTTCTTCACAGTGGACAAGGAGAAAGAATAAACAAAAGTCCACTGTTGTCCTTCAAAAATTGAAGGAAACTTGTGTGGTGGTGAAGGCTGTTGACCCAAACACCCCACCACCAGCAACACACACGAATTTGGAGTGGAATAGTGACAGCATCTCCAGAGACCAGAACCAGCCGCAATCCAATATAGGAGCAGATATTGCCCACTCCTGTAAGCCAGCGATAACCATACTGCTGGAAAAGAAAACATTTCCCTTTTTGTTTTTCTTATATTCCTTAAAAAGTAAGACTACAAATTAAAATGAAAGGGTAATCCAAATTCTATGGATTACGGGCAGCAACATACATGTAAAGAGCAACTTATCATCTGACATTCAAACCTAAAATGGTTTATGTGCTCTCCACAAATGTAAATAAATATAAATATAAGAATATACCTGATTTGGTTAAAACAAACTTTATATCAAATATCAGCTCAGGAATCCCTTTCCGACAATGAACATAAGTCTAATAACAATTGATATACTTCTAAAACGCATACCAAATATATCACAATAAGATAGTATATTAAAGGACCAGTATTGTGCCAGGAAAACATACTCTCTGGGGAGAGGAAGAGGTTAAAATCTTACCTTTCTCCAGCCCCGGGCGGGGAGCTCTCCTCCTTCATAGCGACGTCATCGGCTGAATGCGCATGCGTGGCAGGAGCCGCGCGCGCATTCAGCCAGTTCATTTACAATGCTTTCCTATGGACGCTGGCGTCTTCTCACTGTGATTTTCATGAGACAGCCACTAGAGGCTCTAGAGGCTGGATTAACCATATTATAAACATAGCAGTTTCTTTGAAACTGCTATGTTTATAAAAAAAAAGGGTTAACCCTAGCTGGACCTGGCACCCAGACCACCTCATTAAGCTGAAGTGATCTGGGTGCCTATAGTGGTCCTTTAATACCTCAAATGTTTCTGTCCACAGCGTAAATTACATAAACATCCCAAACAGGCTTGCTACGGTATCAGATAAAGTGAAGCAGCATGCAGCAGCCTAAAATGAGAGGTTTACAAAAAAGGGGGCTTCACTCCTAAATGTTGCTACAAGCATGTATTCTGACTGATAGAAATCCACCTGTTGTGCTCTTCACCTTTAAGGAAGCTGTGGCCTATTTTGAAGCTACTGGCTGCGCCATTCACTCCTCACGTGTCTCTACAAGCCTGACTACTTGTCGGTAGTTGCAGGTGGAGCGGCAGAGGATTGACACAACCAAATATTCCTTGTACATTTGAAGTTTGTCTACTTAGCACAGGGCTATCTTTTGGTCCCCTACTCTATCTGGATTCAGCTCATTCAGACAGATACTTCAGAGGGGCCCCCATGGTCAGGTACATTTGGGGATAATGTTTGACATTTTTTAATTAATTTTTGGGCAAGCACTTTGTATGTATCTCTTTGAATCACTAATTTTTCACATATTTATCATAGTATGACCTTGTAGGTCAGGAGCAATTATATATCATTATCATTTGTATATTGTGAGCCATGTTGTTATCTATAGAGGGATTTCACTATTATAACAACATGTAGGAGTGAAGCCCCTTGTTTGGTAAACCTCTCATTTTAGGCTGATTTCTCCCTCGTTATCACACTGGACTCCAGTCCAACAATTAAAAGGTACCTAAACCAGACCTGGGACTTTCAAGGACCCGACTCAGTTTTTCAGACAAGGTCATCCCCACCTTTAGCAATATCTAATGTGTCATAATCAATTGATCAAAATGTCATTTCAAATATCAGGTAACAATGTAGCAATTACAATAATTTGTTTAAAAATTAGATGTAGAAATTATTACATGAATAGCTCATTATTAAGAAGACCTTACCAAACTGTTTCAATGGCTGAAAGCTTTAAGAATCCATGTTTGATGCATAAAAAAATATAATTAAACCCATTTGCAGCTAAGCCACATTAATGATCTGTTTTCCCTGATAGACTTTCTTTGTCATCTTTAGTTATGACAAGTGCAATTTCAAACTAAACAATTAGTTTAGTATCTATTTGTTTATTTCATTGCCGCCCCATCAAGCACTGCAATATTCAGTCCTAATTATGTAAATTAGATGCTATTTGAAGATAACGTCATGCTTCATCCTATTCTATTCAGGTGTAACGCCAGATGGCGAAGCATGAATATCATGCAGAGTAACCAAGTGAGATGAAACTAGTCACACTTTACGTGAGTTGTATTTATTTTTTGTATTGAGGTCTTGACATTCAGTCTGTCCTTATCCTATCAGATTGTGACGCAGCCAAAAACCTCTTATCATCTGTGTACAGATACTCAACTTTGGCTTCAACAAAGACAGTTACAACTCTCAGGCACATTTTATATAATTCACAAATGTTACTTTCTGTATATTAGATCTAATGCTGATTACACTGAAATATTAACTCATTGTATTCTCCCTTTTCCCTATTCTGTTTTTCTGTATAAGGAATGTCTTCATCTATAATTTATCTTATGTGCAAAACAATCTATTAAACTTAGTCTAAGGTTTCTAGAATCCTTAAAGTATTTGTGACTTGATTCATATCCCCCCTTTTCCACCCATGATTGATCAATTAATTAAGCAATTATGAATCTCCTGGTTAAGTAATAAACTCAGGGTTCTGGTGGAAGTAGAGCCTCCATAAATAGTTGTAATTAGCTAACATGCAAAAATATTACATGGCAGAAGAGAAAATAACTGCTCAGAATTTGCACATGTCCAGAAAAACACCCCAAGTGCCCAAGCCTGAAATTGCATTTTTCAAAATGGGCTTTTCAGATAACTTTTTCAGGGCAGCACATTCCCACCTACACAATTATTATTTACTAATTGCAAAGTATTGAGAAAATTTGCAGACTTTGGCTAGTTTTACCATAGAAGTTGTTGAGCTTTTAGCTGACTGTGTGCTAAATATTGCTTATTAAAAGCTGTCAGTCGGTAGACTGTCAGTGGAGACCATTAAGAACAACAATGTTAATGGCAAAACAAAAAGTAACTTCTTTGCAACATTTTGTAAAGTTTTGAGGGGCAAACCCACATTTCCAAACATAAATATTTTAAATGAAAGTGTCTCCAGAATTCCTAGCAAACCAGAAGTCCTAGGGCAATTTGTCTTTCTACCTACCTCCTAGTTCCCTTAATATTAAAGGAACACTATAGAATCAGGAACACAAACATGTATTCCTAACCCTATAGTGTTAAAACCACCATCTAGCCCCCCTGAGCCCCTCTTGCCTCGCTAAATATAGCAAAATGTACTTGTATTCCATGTGGACACCCGGGATAGGGAGAACCCGCGGGCCCCCAAGCCAACCACCATGTCTGGAAGGCTCCATGGACACAAAGCGAGGGCTCTCGCAAAGGCCCGGAGCCAGAGATCGGGGAAATCGAGCCGCAGCCGGAACACACGAACGGTACGGCGAGTATACTACCACATACAGACCCCAGCCAGGAGAAGCAATAAAGATCAATGGACATTGCCTCGGAGCACCACCTATGACCTGTGGACATTACCTTTGAGCACCACCTATGTTTTACTTGCAGGCACCAAGAACATACCGACTATAGGAGTCGGCTGACTCTCGGGAACACATTGGGGACTGGCCTGCCGCTGTATCACCACATCCATCTAACCCCAGCGGACACTATCCTACTTATTCTGCACCAACCTTGTTGATTTAAGTGCAAGCAGGTTTAATTTTCTTTTGGTATGCTAACCCTAATGGTCAATGTCAGACAAATAAGCCAAGCAATGGTTATAGTTCACACTACAAATATGCCTTAAGCTTCAGTCTATAACGCGGGTAAAAAGCCTACCTATTTTCTTATCTCAATATTTCCTCTTACTATGTTTAACATGAGACCTGCATATTTCATTATAAGCATATAATTACTTAGCTATGACACTCGAAATTATATATATGTATATATATATACCTCACCTAGCATGTCAAACATATACTCAACTACCATATGCCATAGCCTAACCCGCTTATACTTTACGATCTAGCTATAAGTAAAAATGAGGCACTGTGAATCGACAAATGCTTAGACATTTATTTCTTATTTTAATATTTTCTATTATTATGTTTAACTTAAGACCTGCATATCTCATTATAAGCAAATAAGTACTTAGCTACGACACTCAAAGTTATATATGTGTATACCTCACCTAGCATGTCAAACATACACTCAACTACCATATGCCATAACCTAACCCGTTTATATTTTGCAATCTAGCTATAAGTTAAAAATGAGGCATTGTGAATCGACAAATGTTTAAACGTTTATTGCATGATATATAAAATTCAAAAAAAATTTGTGCATGTCAAACGAATGTGAAGCTGTACCGGAGGACTGCCTTTGGTGCACCTCGGGTTTTTATGAAACCCTCTACTACACCTCAAAAATAAAAAATAAATAAAAAAAATGTCTACAATGTACTGAATTCATATGTTTAATCTGAAATATCCAATCATCATTTCACTGCTTTCTCTGCATTATTTATTATTATAGGCTATTACTTCAAATTTAGTTATTTTTTTTATTTCTACTTGATATATTTTAAATGATGTGTTTTTGATTCAGAATTGCTGTTTTCATTGTAATATAGTAATAACTACAAACTTTATATTACTTTTTCAAAAATGAATGAAATAATTTTGAAATATTTGGAGAGATTATTAACTAAGCCTAAACTAATGTGGTGAGAAAAGTGTGTAAATTTGTTTGAGAACAATCTTTGATGGTAACAACCACAAATTTTTTTTTTTTTTTTTCTAGAGACCGGCTGGTCAGGCTCACACCCAGTTGAAATATTATTGTATGGAAGGTCAGCTGGAAATTATCCTCTTTCACCTAATTATGACCTTACAAAGCTTTCCAAACTATTCAATTCTGTTAGAAAACCTTTACAAATAATTTGTCTACAAAAATTCCCATTGACTTTAACGGTGACTTCTGCAAAAAAAATCCTTTGGCAAGTTTTCTAACAGAATTGCATTATTTGGAAAGCTTATTAAAATTACTTCACATTTTTTTTTTCAACCGTAAATGTCCATAATAAGTCAATAAGTATTACAAAAAGTTGTAAAATATTTATTTATGTGCCGATCCATTTACACAGATTCACTGTATCTATTTTTTAAGAAGAATTAAGGATAATATTGAAGGGTTCACATATTTTCTTTTGCAGTTACAGTGCTGGCGATCAGACTATTGTAATATATGGCAAGGAACCCGTGGAGCCTAATTATTCAGTATGTATGAATCAGCAAGAAACATCACAAAATAATTTTAAGGAAAAGAATCTCGGTATGCTTTGTATATCTGTTTATATAGTACAGCCACTGGAAAAAAGGGTGTCAACTAAATAAAAAATAGATGTTATTAAAAAAAAAAAGTTAGAGACTTCAATTACTGATATAACGTGATATTTTAATGATATTCTAAAGTAGTGCATGTAATTAAATCCTTGAATTTAGCAAAAATGCCTTTCCTCAATTAAGCTCACATAGAACAGCTTGTTCTTAGAGACGCTTAGCTTCATAAGAATATTATAGTTACACCATCAAATAAGGAAATAGGAGTGGAATAATAAATAAAGCATACCATGGGAAAGATGTGCATCAGAAATGAAAAAAAAAAATAAGAAGCAGTTTAAATAAAATATCAGCATAAACCTATTGCATAACATGCAGTATTGAGTGATATGTAGCACTGTCAGCCAGAAAGCAAACAGCTAAAAAAAAGCCTCTGGGGGTCAAAATGACGCCCACATTAGTATAAAGGTGGTTTATTACCACCCCCATACTTCCAAAACACATTTATTAGACAATTTTTCTTGAGCAGCTGAACCATTTATTGGGTTCAGCTGCTAGAATTTCATTTGGCATTAAATTCAGTAAAAAGCCG